TATCTTATTGTTCTTTTTATATATATATATATATATATATATATATATATATATATATATATATATATAACGAAACGAATCCCATCTATCCCAAACGATTAAAACAGAAAGCAAAACAACTTGGCCAAATGAAATTACAAATAAAAAAAACTGGAAGAACAAGGCGTTGCATGGCAAATACCTAAAAAGAAAGAAAGAAGCAGATGTGGACCAACAGAAAACACGTCAGTATCTGAGGAGCACCGGTTTGAAAGCCTAGTCAGAAGGCCTAATTATTGCAGCTTAGTACCAAGCCTGGCAACCAGATCCTATAACTGTCACATAATCAAAGATGGAACTAACCCGAAATGCAGGATCTGCGGAAAATATGATGAAACTCAGGAAGTCTGGAACTAGCAAAAAATGAATATGCACACAGACATAACAACGTAGCGACATATGTGCACTGGAAGATAGGCAAGAAGCACAAAATCGAAACCACTGAGAGATGTTATGAGCACCAACCAGACAGAGTTACCTAAAATAACGATGTAATGATCCTCTGGGACATGCCAATTCAAACTGACAGGGAAATAACAGCCAACAGACCTGATATTATCATAAAAGACAAGAAATTCAGCAAGTGTATGCTTATTGACATAGCAGTACCATCTGAGAGAAACACCTCCATGAAAATTATCGAGGAATTGTCCAAAGGACTTGGAGATCGAGATTAACAGGATATGGGGAATGAAAACTGAAACTGTGCCAATAGTCATCGGAGCACTGGGCCTCGGGACAAAAGAAATGGACAATTTACTAACAGTGTCTCAAGATCAATATATAAGTTGGACAAGTCCCATAAAAGTGATATCAATAACAGGGTCTACACCACAGTCTGGACCCGGGTCTACACAGTAAAACATAACACACAAAATAATAATAATAATAATTGTTAGAAGACCGCAAACAAAAACGGTGCCTCCTTATTGAGGCATCTGCTGAAATGTAGCTTCCCATATTCAAAAAGCTATCAAAAATACAAGGACACCTCCTGTGGTATATGGGAACATCAACAATCCCTGTTGTAAGGACCCTAGGACAGCAGCGGACTAATTGAAGGGACTCCTGGAAGTCCATGCCTCAAGGAGATACAAAAAATTGTTCTGACAAGGATTTACAAGGGCTTTATCTATGCAGGAAACACCCCTAACCCGGAAAGAAATGTGTAAACACATTGAAAATAATAATAATAATAATAATAATAATATCAAAATACAAGGATCTTAAAGTGAAATCTCAGGAATGTGGGGAAGACAAGGAAAGAGTAGCATGAGGGAAAAACCCCCCCCTAAAAATGATTGAGAAGTTCTCCATATGCAAGGACCTGGAAATCGAGATTAACAGAATGTGGGGAATGAAGACTGAGACTGTACCAATAGTAATCGGGGCTCTGAGCCTCGTGAGAAAAGAAATGGACAATTTTATTAACAGTATCCCAGGTAACATCAACATACAAGTTGTCCAGAAAATCGCCCTACTAGGAACATCCCATATGCTAAGAAATGTGCTATAAATGTCCAGGCATGGCTTCCGGTCTAAATTGCTCGGAGGTGTTAACATGTACATGATAACAAAGAAAAGGAATATGTGGAGAGAGAGTTGATCGCCTACGTCCTGAAATGATCTTTTATATGCTGTGTTACATCACAACGTGGGATATCATGACTCCCTAAAGTTTCCTATCGTTTGTAGCCCTTAGCAGCGTTTCTTCCTTTGCCAAGCCTCTTGACACCGTTTCACCTTCTATTCACACAAGCTCATCAGGTAAATAGCCCATTGGACGTTTCCTTTTTCTGTCGCCATCGATATACCTTATGTATTCAAGAAATATCAGCTGTCTGATTCCGAATATAAGGATTGTTTTTGTTGACATTTATTAAAGATTTCTTTCAATATCTGTCTATATTTCTGAGAGGAGGTATTGTAATTATTTACATTATTTACATTGTTAGGACTGTTGTCCTCGTCTATATTGGCATATTCACGTTTCGGCCGTTGTACGCTCTGACCTTCTTCAGGTGATTCGGGGTAGATTGTTCTAGTTCCATGTGTCATTCCTCTTCCGGGTGTTTCAGTTATCACCCTCTAACTCAATTCTCCAAGTTTTTGTTCACCACTGCAGTAACCAGGTATTAAACTCAAAATTCTTTTGGGTCACGTCACTAGATTCAACCAACGCTTTTATCCTTGGGCCATTTGTAACCTGAAGAAGTCTAGAGTGTACAACCGCCGAAACGTCGTGAATATGGAATAAAGATGAGGACAACAGGCCGAACAATGTAAATAAGATTTCCTTGTTGCTTATTCGCTCGGTCCATGAATGTCAGTATGCTTTTGTAGAAACATATTTCTATTGCTTCCAGTTCTTTCTTCATCTGTGGAGAGATTGTCCAGCATTCATTGTCATAAAAGAGAATTGATATCGCATAGCTGTTCAGATCTCTTTATTTCTGTTGTAATCCAGGGAAAGTTACTGAATAGAATAATCAAACGAAGGTTGGTAATGAACGATAATACTTAGGGCACGAAAAACACATATAAGATTCGTGTCATTTCACTTATGCCGAATTCGAAGCCAACAGCGCTGAAGAGTGAAGGCATTACTACAATGCGCTCACGAAACTTCGAAGTCGTTATGACTGAAATAACATCTCTCAGTTAATTGATAAGTTTCTACACATTAATTCTATTAATGCTATATCTTTACCTTTTGATATCGATCACTACAAAAACCTGCCTGCCTAAAATGTCTTTCCACCAGTAAACTACGCAAAAAGAACGAGCGAAGTTGGCACGTAAAATAATTTAATATTATATATATATATATATATATATATATATTAAATTGTAAGAGATTTTACGTGCCAACTTTGCTTTTTCTTATATATATATATATATATATATATATATATATATATCCGATGCGGTGAGAACGAAAGTAATATATAAATTCTAACGTTCACAGAATTAATCCAAAAGAGGGCTCAATACCGATAGTAGAGCGATAATTACTTATTCATTATAATTTTATCATATAGACAAAACCCTTTTACTCACTACAAAGATGCAACTTGGTTTCAATGCATTTCATCTGCACTTCGACGGTCAAATCACGCTGAAAACACCGGTTCTCGTTCGATCACCGAAGTTAAGCATCGTAGAGCCAGGTCAGTACTTAGATGGGGGACCGCTTGGGAACACCTGGTACTGTAAGCCCCCAAAGTCCAACCCACCTCACAGTCGGTGGGGGGTGTAAACGGTAGTGTCAGAGCTATGCCGCCCGGAACTTCGTTCCTGGTAGGGCCACCCAAGGCGGACAGGTCTGACACACACGCCGGTTAACAAGGGCTCTGGTGAAAATCCAAGGAGCGTCTGCATCGGTAACCGGCGGCTTCTGGTCGTTCCTGTCTCTACGTCTGTGGGAACTCCGCGGCAAGCAAGAACGTTATTCGAGTAGGCCTGGGTACCCTACTTCTGTAATTTATCCCAAGAATCTTCTTCTCATAATATGAAGAAGCCGGCTCAATCCGCCCAGGGTGAATGCCGCATCAGTAGTAGTAGTAGTACATCTGCACTTCGACGAGTGAGAATCGAAAATGGTTAATGGTTTTGTCTATATGATAAAATTATAATAAATAAATAAATATATATATATATATATATATATATATATATATATATATATATATATATATATATATATATATATATATCATTTTCCTGAAGTCTTTTTTATGGTGAAACCAACACTAAAAGGATTACTAACCAGAGAGACTCCTTTCATCCTCATCAAGAGCAGCTAGCCCGCGTAAGATCTCAACCTGGTACTTACATAGCTCCGCGGCAAAATTCATGAAAGCTTAATCCGCTCATTATATTGTATGTGAGAGGCATGTACTGGCTGTTATTTACTGTGATCATGAGAGGTTAAACTCCGCAATAACAACACATTAGGGCTGGCGTTCAAAGTTTCCTTGGCAAGTCTTTTGCACCTTTACTTTGTTATCGACAGATCTCAAAACTATGAATGGTCCTACACAAACCTTCACCATTTTAAACAAATTATTCTGTTAGTATTCTAACAAGAAACCATCATATATATATATATATATATATATATATATATATATATATATATATATATATATATATATATATACACTAAATAGTTTAATAAATAGAGTAATGTCTCAGTTGTTATCCTGAACATTTGCACGTCGGATCAGTTCTTTTAAATCAAATATGTGGTGCAGTTCAATTTATATTACAATGAATCATTCATACAAAAAGTAAATTAGTAAAGTTAATGATATAAAATGGCGAAATCCCTTCGCTAAATAAATTTTAAAGATGCATTAACCCACTAATCACTACCTGAATTTTACCAAAAACAAAATAATTTCCATGCCTGATGATGACTGGACGTACAGTCGAAAGTACTTGCGTATTTAAGGAAGATCTAATACAGTTTATAATTTTAAAAAACAAGGACCGTAACATTCATCGAGTAGTTAGTGGGTTAATGCATCTTTAAAATTTAGTTAACGAAGTGATTTCGCCATTTTGTTTTAATTTTACTAATTTAGTTTTTGTATGAATGATTCATTGCATTTATATATATATATATATATATATATATATATATATATATATATATATATATACACGTAGACAAATTATCGGAAGAATGTATTATCCTAAACCTCATGAAAAGCAAGACACAATACAAGAACAAATTGAGGGAGGGGATCTTAACTGTAAATAATATTTTCGAAAAAAGGGGGAAAAAAAGTAACGTATGCATATCTAGATATACAATAATGTGTTGCAACGTTGTATCGCTCTTTCAGCTTACTCTTTACTACACAGTTGAAAAGAAAGCTGGGTAGGAGAAAGTACCAAAGAATTCAAATGCCTCTTTACATCGAACTTTTCTTACAAACTCTTGTGCATCGATTATGTCGAAGGCATTAATATGGCTGCTTCCACGGTATCCATCGTCACATCCTTCACCTCTCTCTCTCTCTCTCTCTCTCTCTCTCTCTCTCTCTCTCTGTTTATGCTTTTACCGACTACGGCCCTTATTCCCAGCAATTGTTCTTATTGAACATAGAGACAACACTAGTGGATTTAGTCCGTTTTATATTTCGCCTTTATTTACAGCCATTCCATTTGATAATCTTCCTTTTTCTTCGATCTCAAAACTTTTGTTTTAAAGTTTTTCTTCATAATTTCCTCGCTCTACTCACAAATTATGTGTCCGTTTTAATTTAAACTTTCTTTCTTCAGAGTCTGTCTATATTTCTGAGATGATGTACATTATTTACATTATTCGGATTATTGCCCTCATCTTTGTCGCCATATTTCTTTTTTTTCTTTCTTTATTACTTTCATTTTATTCATAATGTTTTCATCATCTAAACGATTATAGCTTTTTGTTATCAAATTTCTTTTTTCTTTCTTTCTTTCTTAATGTTTCCATCAATTATAATTTCGTTCTTTTTCTTTCTTTTTTTTCCTAATGTTTCCATCAAGCTTATTTTGATTTATATTTCTTTGTTTCTTAATGTTTCCATCAAGAATATTTTGATCAATATTTCTTTCTTTCTTTCTTATTGTTTACATCAAGCTTTCTTTTTCTTTCTTTCTTTCTTAATTTTTCCATCATATTTCTTTTTCAATAATTTCTCTCTTTCCTTTCTTTCTTTTTTCTCTTTAGTCTCTTAATGTTTCAATCAAGCTTATTTTGATTAAGATTTCTTTCTTTCTTCCTCCTTTCCTTTCTTTCAGTCTTTCTTTCTTTCTTTCTTACTTTTTCTTTCTTTTTCTTTCTTAATGTCTCCACAAGCTATTTTCAATTAAGATTCTTTCTTTCGTTCTTTCTTTCTTTTTTCTTTCTTTCTTTTTTTATTTTTTTCTTTCTTTCTTTCTTTCTTTCTTTCTTTCTTTCTTTCTTTCTTTCTTTCTTATTGTTTCCATCAAGCTTACTTTAATTAAGATTCTTTCTTTTTCTTTCATAATATTTTTATCCCCATTTTATTTATTTTAATAAATTTTTTTTTTCTTTCTTTTTTTTTTTTCTTTCTTTTTTCTTTCTTTTTTTTCTTTTCTTTCTTTCTTTCTTTCTTTCTTTCTTTCTTTCTTATTGTTTCCATCAAGCTTACTTTAATTAAGATTCTTTCTTTTTCTTTCATAATATTTTATCCCCAGTTTATTATAATAGTTTATTTTAATAAATATTTTTTCTTTCTTTCCTTCTTTCTTTTACTTTAAAATTCATTCATTTTTTTTATTTCATCTCTTATGTCTCTTCCGCTTTCTTGATCATTATTCTTCATTTTTATTTCAATTTCTTTTCATTTTTCTTTTTTTTTTTCTTTTTCATATATTCTTCTTAAATTTCCCTATTTTCTTTTATTTTTCTATCTTTCTTGATGTTCACTGTTTCGTCCATTAAGCCTGTTCATTTTCATCTTTCTTTTTATTCTTTCACTTTTTCTTTTTTTGACTTTCTCATTTCTTCCCCATTTCTCTCTTTCGTAATGATTTCAATCCCGTCAAATATAACTTATTTTCTTCATGTTTTTTTATTTGTGATATTTCAGTCTTGTCTATTATAGCGTGTCTATATCATTCATTCATTTCATTTCTTATTTTTGTTTTTCTTTCTTTTTTGGTCGTGCAACTGCATGTAATATTGGCACGTCATTCCATTATTCATTCTTTTTATTCATACGTTCTTTCTGGTTTTGTTTCTTTTTTAATGCTTCATTTTCGTCTATTGTAGATTGTTTATATCTTTGATGAATCTATCGATTCATTTCTCTCTCTCTCTCTCTCTTCTTTCTTTCTTTCTTTCTTTCTTTCCTTCTTTCTTTCTTTCTTTCAAGCGTTTTTATGCTCCCTCCTGTTCATTAAATTCGTTTCTTTCTTTCTTTCGTTTTTTGTGTTTTCCTTTTTTTTTGTAATGCTTCATTTTCGTCTATTGTAGATTGTTTATATCTTTGATTAATCTATCGATTCCTTTCTCTCTCTTTCTTTCTTTATTTTATTCTTTTTTTGTATTTTCCTTTCTTTTGTGATGCTTCAGTTTCATTTTTTATAACTTGTCTTTATTTTTCATTCATTATTTTCATTCATTCATGTTTTCCTTTTTTTACTTATTTTCTTTCTTTCTTACTTTTCTTACCTACTTTATTAGCGTTTCTTCTATTTTTTAATTTCTTTTTGATGTTTCCGTTTCATATATCATAGCTTGAATTTATACTTCATTTATATATTCATTCTTTTCTTTTTCATTCATTTTTCTTTCTTTTCCGATTTTTCAGTCTCATCTTTTATAACCTGATTTATAATTAATTCATTCATTCATTGTTTGTTTCTTTTCTGATGTCTCAATTTCTTCTGCTACAACTTGTCTTTATACTTCATTCATTCATTGTTTTTACTCATTTCTTTCTTTCTTTTTTCCTTTCTTTCTTTCTTTCAACACCTTCAATATTTTACCCACCAATCGCCGACCTTATCAATAATCTCCGCATGTTCTTGCCTCCTTTTCCATCCCAACCAATTACAAATGCGACGGATGTTATATTTATCCATAGGCAAATGGATTCTTTTCATTCTTTCTTCAGACATATTCACATTTTTCACTTTTACTTTCTTTCTATATTTCTTTTTTTTTTTTTTCATTTCGCGCTCTTTTTTTTATTGTTGTTGGAAATCTTGCTCTGTTACACAGGCAGATGTAACTTTTATTAAATTTCAACTCTATTTATTCTTACCATACATTATATTCAATTCGCTTGCCTATAATTTATTTTTATCCCTTTTTCCAATTTTTTTTTTTTTAGATCTTTAGCTTCATCTTATTTTTTCTCCCCACCATTTCCCCGCTATTTTGCTTTACATTACTCCACGACAATCTAAAATTCAACTTTCTCTTCATTCGCTCCACCCCACCCCCGACTACCCGCTTTCAATCTTCTAACTTTCTCCTAACAGTTTTTATCTCCCTTTTTTTCGGGTTTTATCGCATACTCTCGGCCAACTCCGCTCCTGTTGCCTTCCTCCACCCACTCCGCTTTCACAACTTTCTTTACTCTCGCTTATCGCTTGCAAGATGGCGTCATAAAACAGTTAAGAGACTAACCGATTCAAGTTACTAAAGACAAACTCGATGTAAGTTATCGCAGTAAATTTGGTCCACGCGAGATTCTCGCATAATCACACGCTTATTAAACATAACAAGTGATCTGTCCTCTTCCAAGACAATCCATCTTCCCTTATAAATACATATTTTTAAATATTTTTTTTTAATCATTTCACCCCAAGCAAAGCGGGAATGCCACTAGAATGCAGGGGGTTACACAGACTGAAAGTGAAAGAAATGACTGAACATAACGACTGAATATAAGGAGGATTAAGAAAAAGACTAAAGATGAACGGGATTCAAGAAGATAGAAGATGGCGATTGACGTTGCATCTAAATTTTTAAACATTGTAGTTATCAGGGAAGCGAGTAAACGGAAGGTAGTTCCACAGGCGGGAAGTGCAAGAAAAGTAACTGCTGGTGTATAAGTGGCGGTTACATTTAGCTATTTCAACAGTCCTTTAAATTGATGCATTTGTGGCACTAGGGAAAAAAGTTCGTCAGAGCAATTGCCATGGAAATATTTGTAAAAAAGACAGATAGAAGCCACGCCACGTCAGCGAGCAAGTGACTGAAGGCGAGATGCCAAGTCAGGATCGATTACATTATAGATCCTTCATTATATTTTGACAAGAATCTCGAGATGAATAGGAGGAGAACCAGACCAGATATGTCAGCAGTATTTAATGCACGGACGAATGACAGAATTGTAAACGTGCAAGATGGACTCTGGACGAGAAGACATTGATCCAACTTTTCTTGCAGTAGATTCGATGTATTTGTTCCACTTCAAGTCAGTTGGAAACGTGAGGCCAAAAGGCGCAGTCTGTTGCTCTCCAGGTGCTAGCATCAGCCATGATGATGGTGGACAGGAAAGTTTCTCTACGGTGGTTAAATGAGAGCAGTTTCATTTTGGAGGCATTAAAATTTACGAGTCATTTCCTGTTCCAATTAACCACTGATTGGAGGTCCTTTTCAAGAGCAGCGGCCAAGTTTACTTTGTCAGCTCTGACAGATTTGCTAAAACAGGAGTAAATTGTAGTGTCATCTGCATAAATGCCTACTTGGGAACTGATGACATCAAGAAGATTATTGATGAAGATCAGAAACAGCGTAGGACCCAGGATAAAGCTTTGGGGAACACCTGCGTTCGTGTGAAAGGATCTAGAAGCGAGCCCATTCAAACCGACTTTCATTTCACGATTTGATAGAAATGATTGGATTAAATCAAACAATCGTCCTGTAATACGGTAACCCTGGAGCTCGCGTAGAAGACCAGCATGCCAAACCCTGTCAAACGCCTTCGAGATATCTGGAGCCATAGTTCGAGCTTTACCATTATTATCAAGAGCTTGGTATACATATTCAGTGATGGTTGTTCATATATATATATTGGTATTTAATACCATACATGTATGTATGCATGTATGTTTCGTAGACGAGCGGTTTAGATTATTGTGTTGCGACAATGAAACTCGGTTTCGAAGTCCATCATCGCCGATAATATCAACATAGAAAGGCGATTGAAAACCACACCACAGGTTGACGCAATCCTTGTTAGTGAAATTAGGTAGATGAAACTATTCAGAACTGACTGTACTACGACTGTGACACCTATCCTGATCCCACTGGATCGATGTACTCTACAAGACCGGCCGTTGGTCTTGTCCTGGTCCAGTATTACAGGTTCAATCAAAGTCTCCGGTTCACAATGTAGATTTGATTCCACTTTCCAGCCTCGTTGTGATTTCTTTTGATCCTGGAGAGCAATTAACAAATCGTAGATCCCGGAAGATTCAGCTGGTCTACCTACAAGTTCGTTAGGGCGAGAATCGGGCCAAACAGAAAAATCAAATATGAACAAGTCGATTCGAGCCCAAAGAAAAATTTATGTATATAAGGAAGAAATAGGTACAAAAAGAATAAAGCTTCTTTTACAAGAAAGTAGTGTATATGAAATGTAGTAGTGTATATGTTTAAAAAAAAAAAGAAACAAACAAATATTGCTATTAGTTCTGAAAGGAAAGAATTGTTTTTTGGATCCACCTTTTTTGTTCTTCGTAGTGACCGTAATTATTTCACTATCAGGGTCCACTGGCAGTATTGTGCTAATATTGCAGATAACTTGAGTTCACTTCCTCCCTTATTATATCAGTAAGCTGACGCTTTCACTCCCACTTCCCCCCTCTCTCTGTCTCTGTCTCTGTCTGTGTCTCTCTCTCTCTCTCTCTCTCTCTCTGGTCGGCTGCTTCAAAATACTTCACCCAGTTCCATTTCCAACTTCAACTTGAACTTCGACTGTTTGTTTTCGCACAAACATGCGCTTAAATAAACGCGGTGGTAGCGACAAATACCCGGGTTGTTGGTAAAATTAGAATACAACCTGATTATTGACCTCTCCGACTTTATGATTAAATGAACAGTCTCTTCATCGCAATTGGTATTCCATAGTTCATATAAACACTATTGTTTTGATATTTTATATTAATAATTCTGACGAAACACAGATTCTCTAGGCACAAACTTCACCACAGATCATTTTTCTCATCTATAAACAAAATTCTATATTGCTATAATTATTAATATTTCAAGGGTGACCATTGTTCTTTGCCATCCGACGAAGTCACAAGTCAACATGTAAAGTCATCGAGTATTATGAACTTTTTTCCAGAAACTCTTATTAAAGCCTGCTCAGCATAGTTACAGTAAAAATCACAGGTAGGTTTTATCGACGTTAAAGAAGCAAAATGTACCACAGCAGGAGTCTGTAACAGGGATGAGTTAGCAGCCTAGCAGATGAGCACACTCGAAAATGAGTATTCACCCATTGTGTATGTATCTATATTAATCCCAATATGTTATTACATTTTATAAATTTAACAACCGTGCCTGTGAGCAACAATGAAGTCTTAGGGAGGTTGCAAACTAGGAGGAGGCTTATACTTAATATCAGGAAGAGGGAACTGAAGTTTCTGGGACACATAATGAGGAAGGTGGGCCTGGAGAATCTGATACTCACAGGTCGAATAGAAGGAAAGAGACAAGGGAAAACAACGCATAATATACCTAGCGGGCTTAAGCAAGTGGATGACAGAATGTGGTCTGGGGGAGGAAGCAGAGGGAAGGAACTTGTTGAGAGCTGCAAGGGATAGGAGGAAGTGGAGAGCCATGATCGCTTACGTCCTGAAAGGACACGGCACATAAAAAAGAAAGAACATGTTAAGTTTCATCAGAAATCTGATAAATTGTTACACATTTTCTCTTTTTCCTGCTCTCTCTCTCTCTCTCTCTCTCTTTCTCTCTCTCTCTCTCTTTCTTTCTTTCTTTCTTTCTTTCTTTCTTTTTGTCTCTCTCTTAAGCGTCTGGTTAGAAAGGTAGAATTAATTAAATTCAATAATTAAATAATTAAAGCAGTAATTCAACCTTGCTAACCAGACGCTTCCTCTGTAGCTAAATAGTATAGCACGTCAGGCCAAATGATGGTTCCGTGTACGATAGAGGTTTGATTCCTGTTGGAGGACACATATTTTCTAAGAAATTTCTCGGACACTGAGGCCGATAAATGTAGTTTATACTGTTTTTTATAAAACAGAGCATTTACTTAAATATTTGTATAAAAAAATAACGTACAAACAATAAATATATTAAAATAATTGTCGTTCTTAGTCCATTTCATAATATATGATGTCATTTTTTTACGTTAATTTACGCTTAGAGCAGATATGAACATTCGAGAGAAATCATGGGAAATTTGTAGTTAAAAAGCAGTAATTCGACCTTGATAACCAAACGCTTCCTCTGTAGCTAAACGGTATAGCACGTTTCCGAGTAGGATATAGGTTCGATAACTGTCCGAGGACATATATTTTCTATGAAATTTATCAGACATTCAGGCCGGTAAATTTTTCATAATATATTTGAGATGCAGTG